GGTTCTGAACATTGCTGTTGTTTCTTTATGTGTTTGCTGTTGTTCAGAAGTTTCATCAATTTTTTTCTGTTTCAGTGTCCTGATTTCATCTTCACTCAATTCTTTTATTCGTTTTCTGTGTCTACTATGTGGATTGTTCAGATGACTGGTAAGATCAGATATTGTTGGTATAGCATTATCTCGAAGAACTGTCCGATAAGGACTAGTTCTACAGATCATAGAGGTCTCAAAGTGTTTGGCACATAACCGATAATGTTTATTAAGCTGATCAGGTGTTTTATCTTCTAAGTCAGCTCTCCTACAATTCTCCACCCACTTCTGGCATCTGGCCGGATCCCGCGGGAACATGAAGAAGGCCAGGTCGGACTGCGTGCTCTTCTGCGTGCAGTTGGGGGCAGCACAGAAGTTCAGCATCGTCGCCCACCCGCCGGCCGGCCAGCTCTCCCCTCCCCGCCTCCTCAGGGCAGCCCGTCCGCCCGTCGGGGCCAGGGAGGGGAGCCAGGCCGGCCGCCCGGCGGGGCAAGGCCGCCGCGCAAGGGGAGGGGCGGGCGGACCAGTTGTGGTACTTTTTATACAATGGAATACTATGCGGCATGCAGGAGCAATGATTTTGTAAATTACTGCCTAACTTGGGAGGGACTGGAGAGCATTATGCTGAGTGAACTAACTCAGTCCCACAAGGACAAATACTGTATAAAGCTGTTATTGTAGAATGAGTATGAGGATCCAAGGTGTGGGGCGGGAAGGTATAAGTAAAAGGGTGAGGACGGGGTGGGTGGGGTGTTAATCAAAGGGTTGCACAATTCGACGGGTGGGTGGGGTGAAGGAAATGGGAAGGATCTTTTGCAAAAAACAATGTATTCAAACTTTGTAAATAAATCAGAGTAATTAAAAAGAAAGTCCTTTGAGCTATGACTGTTTTATGCCTTTTCTATGAGAAGACAGGCCCCTCATACTGAAATGCGCAAAAAAAAAAAAAAAAAAAAAGATGAGTCTACTGCAGCCCTGCTTAATGAAAATGAAATGCAAGCTATGTAATATAATAAAAAAAATTCCCCATAGCTGTTTTTTTAAAAGGGACCTCTGGTAGCTTGTTCTTCAGGGAATTTCTCTGCCAGCCCATAGACTGTGCCTCTTTGGCTGTCTGACCAGGCCAGCGGCTTCGTAGGAGAAAGGTGAACAGTCTCCTCCTGGGTGATTTACAATTTCAGACTCAATGGAGAGTCTGCTGTTATGTCCTTTACAGCTGAACAGCAATGAGGCAATGAGTGCTCTTTGGGGGGGGGGGGAAGATGAAACATGGAATAAATTTTGTTAATATTTATTTACTTTATTACAGAAAGATATTACTTCAACATGTCTTCTTTCAAGCTGAGAGATATTTAGCTCTAAAAGCAGAGACATTTGTAGCTTTGGGTCCATTAGAAATTCCTAGTGCTGGACCTTGTCGTCCTGCATTCTCTAATAGAGTTGTTACCAACCAGTCACCTGCATATGCTGAGTGCTTAAAGTGTGGCACGTCTGGATTGAGATAAGTGGAAAATACAAACTGATCGTCAAAGACTTATTACAGAAAGAAGGGGAGAGGCAATGTAAAATATCTCAAATAATTTTTATGTGCTGCTATGTCTTGATGCTGACCTAAGAATATGGACTATTATAATAATATATAACTATATGTATTATAGATTAATATATGTTATATAATATACCAATATATGTAACTATATACTAATTAATAACATATAACTCCTCTCTGGAGGGAAGTGGGTGTGTATGTATAGAGAAAAAGAATATATATGAGAATGGGAAGAATCAAGATGAGAATGTAGGTTGACTATATGTATCCCCGAGAATTTGAAGATCAAGAAGGACTTTCTAGGGAGATGTGACTCCTCCCCAGAAATAAGGGATTCCCAACCCCACAAGTCCTGCTTTACAACCTTGTCTCCAGTCTATCCCTTCGCATCTCTTCCCCGAGCTCCATCCCTTCTTTGTCTTCCTTGACCACTGCCCCAGTGGGCAGAGGCTTGATGTATTGTCAAGACACAGATTCCAGCAAGAACATCAAAGAGCCCAGGGAAGGTTTGCAGGAGAGGTTTTAATTACTCAAAAACCAATCAGAAAACAAGAGTGCCGGTCAAGGGAGTGACAGAGGAGAGAGGTAGTCCTGGGGCACTCTGAGCTGGGTGCAGGGGTGGGTGGGTAGACGGGTTCATTCCTTAGAACGTCCAACGTCGTGGCAGATCCCAAAGTTGGTGTTGGTGATGGCGCCCACAATGGACTTGTCTGCCTCACAGGTCAGGCCTCGCTCACAGGGACACTTGTAATAAACCCCATAGAGAGTCTGCAGAGACATGGAGCCAACAGAGTCATGAGCTGTAGGGGTGCTGCTTTGGACATCAGCCCTCTCTGCCTGAGCCCGAGGACCAGCAGGCTAGTCTAAGTGTTGTATCAGATGGTGCTTTTCTTAATCAACTCCTCTGGGGTCATTGTGGGCCCAGGAGACCCCTATTTTGATCTTCATTCTGTGACTCACTTGTTCTTACTATCTTGATCCCTCTCATGCCTCTCTACTTGCTGGTCGATTTTAAGAGCCAAGAGAGATGGTATGATGTGAAGGTGTTCTGAGATCTGCTCATTGCTTTCTTCTCATCCCCTCAGTGTCCAACACCAGGTTCACCCTCCTCCCCGATCCTCATCTCCACCTCCTCTGAGAGCCTTCTGGCAGCAGCCCATCAGCACCCACCTTGGGAGAGCACTCGCTGTTCTCGCTGGCCTTGGGCATGCAGCGGGCCAGGCTCAGCCCGGTGTCACGGTGGCAGCACTTGCTTTTGCACTGGACGCTGTTCAGGCAGAGCTCGCCCTCCTCCTGCAGGACAATCAGTCAGCCCCGGATCTACTCTGGTCCTCACCTCCTCTCTACACAGATCCCCATCCTGCCACCCACTGCCAATGACAGTGTCTGCCCTGATAGGGGGGATTTGTGAAGGAATTCAAGCCCTGGGAGGAATTCAAGCTTTTCTCCCCACCATCAGCCCATATGAGCAGAAAACAGTGGGAGCCAGGGAAGCAGCCTTGGGCTGGCGGCCAGGACACATGTGTTCTAGTACTTGCTGTACTGCCAACACTGGGTGGTCCTGAACAAGTCACTGCCCCACCTCTGGGCACTGTTCCCATCTGAGATGTGCATATAGGACCTGAGAATAAGGTTTCCAGACCTCTTGGAATCCCATACTCTTTTGGGGATCTGCTTTAGTATCTTCTTCCTGAAAAATTCCCCTTCCACAGACTTCTATGTATAATTTTAGGGGGATCCTGGGTTTCATGTTAAGAACCTTAGAACTAGATGATCCTAGAGGACTTTGCTAGTTCTGACATGTGCTAGAGAGGCTATGTGGAATAGTGGTAAGAGCTGAATCTGTCTGTCTATCTTCAGGCCCAGCTCCACTACATTCAACCAGATACTGCACACAGTTCTCCATCTGAAAATGGGGCTGATGGAAATGGTGCCTACCTCACATGGTTATTATGGGGACTCAGTGAGGAAGCATTCTGGGCCACTGAGAAGGTGACTAGCACAAATTGAATGTTCCATGAATGCTAGGACTGTTCTGTCGAACCTCCCAGAAGAGACGATATTTAAACCTGTCAAACCTCCCAGAAGGGATGATATTTTAAACTGGCTCTGCACCCTCCCACCTCCCATCCTGGGTCAGAAGCCAGAATCATTGGAGGAAATTTGTAAACTGGACATGCTGAGTCAGTGTTTCTAGAGTGAGGGTCCAGGACTCTGGATTTTTATAAAGCCCCTCACAGAGAGGTTAAACCGATACTCTGAGCTGCTCTGATCAGAGCTGGTCAACCTTTTCTGGAGGTCCTCAAGGAAGAGGTGTGGGACAGATACAAGGCAATAACGTAAGAGATGCTATACCTCCTAGCCCAGGCAAGCTCCAAGCAGGACATAGAAGGTCAAGGTGTGGATACTCAAGAAATTCCCACCTGAGGGGTCTTCCACTGTGCACCCTCTTACCAGGTTGACAACGAGTCCCCGGGGGTCGGGAACCGCGTAGGCCACTGCCACTAGGGCCATGAACAGAAAGACAAGGATCTTCTCCATGATGAGTGGTAGAGCGAGTGTGAGGAGTAACCAGCGGGTCAGGTGACAGAAGACAGTGCGAGTTGGGGTGGCAGCTCTATAAAAGGGGCCCTGTCCACATGTGACCCACCTTCCCCACACTGTGGGGCCTGCCGTGGGCAGAGGCACAGCTGTGGCCCGTCCGGGAGGTGGGGCTCCCGATAAGGCAGCTGGGCAGACACCAAGGAGCCGTTCACATGTGTTGGGGTGGCAATGGGGAGAGGGGTGAACTCTGGAAGATTAAAAAATTTTTATTTATCTGGTCCTTAAGAATATGCACAGCAAACGTACACTAATTCAACATTGTCTACATGTACAGTTAAGTAACGCTGATTACATTCTTTGATTTGTGCAACTGTTTGTACCCCCTTTTCCAAGTTATTTCTCTTCCATAAAATTACTATCCCTTACATTTCCAATCTAATCTTTAGAGTTGCTTTGGCCAATCTGATCCCACACAGAGACATATCTGAAAACAATTCTTGGTACAGACACACTAGTTACTAGATTTACTAGGTAAGTAGAACTGTTTGTTCTGTTTTTTTAAAAGACATTATTTAAGCTCTGTTTTATTTTTAAATTTTATGAAACCAAGCCAACCCAGTTGCTGTGAAGTAGAGTCTCACTCCTGCAGCATAGAATTGTGCCCAGAGAATTGTCAGTGGGTTGTGCTCTACTCAGTGTTCCTTTTATAAGGTGCCTCTGCATGGATTCCAGTAACTAACCTTTTGGTTAGACAGGCAGGGTTTAACCATTGCAGTCACCCAGGGACTGGAGCGGTTTGGTTTTAAGAAGACTGCAGGGGATATTTCTTTTAATTTAAGGTTTAAAGTTTATCTCAAGCTAATCGTTTCAGAGGTTCATTCAGCCTGCATTGTTCAGAAAGTGTGGATTCCGTAAGAATTTCAAATTCTTTACATTTTCCTGTTTTAGATCTTCCATAGAATCTTTAGGGAAGGGTTCTATCTCAGATGGTTCTGAGGAAAAGTCCTTTGCCTTGAGCTTCTAGGATTGACTTCTTTGGTCAAAATGTTCAGGAATGGTAGCTGAGCACTGTCCAGGTCTCATTGCATAGCCAAAGATGCAGTTAGCTGTATATTCCATATCCTGCTCTTAGTTCCAACTCTCCTTCTTCCTCTGCTGCTCCAATTCTGGATTTTTTTTTAAAATTGTTGTTAAGTGCCATTAAGTTGCAGGCGACTCATAGCGACCCTATGAAGGAGAGTCCTCAATGCTTGGGTGTCTCTCATCCTCTCTCCAGGCTCATAGGGTTTCCAGAGGCAAGCTATTATGGAAGAGGATGCCACTCTTCCTTCCAGAGTTTCCCTTAGTATGTATTAAAACATAAAATATCATAAACCTTACTTTTCTCATTTTGTCCTAGAACAAAGCTAACTTTATTCAAGGAGGAGGGGCAGGGTGTGGAAGGAGTCAATTTAAAAATAAACGTCAAAGGGGAGCTCTGGTGGCCTAGTGGCAAGAAGCTGCACTGCAATCCCAGAGGTACACAGTTCGAATCCACCAGATGCTCTGCTGGAGAAGGAGGGACAATCTCCTCCTGTACCTGTCAGATCCGATTTGATGGTACACACATATAAAATAATAAAAATTAAAAAATAAAAATGAATAAACATCAAATAAATACTATGACAGGTAGTACAGGAATTTCAAAGCCTGAGGAGGTAGGCTATGAATGGTAATTCTTGGGGACACATGGGTCTTGTAGATCTAATCTCTGGGAGATCTCACCTCTTATCTCTGACATGCTAGATTTTGGGGATATAGAGCCACTAGGCCATAAATTCAGCCTCAAGACTGACTGGGTGCCTGTAGTTGAGGAGGGGCCGCTTTCGGCAAGGCCACATACCCAGTGTGGTGATGGGCTGGAGGTTGGTCCGAGGGAAGTGCAACTTGTCACTTGTGCTGTGGCGTTTGTTGATGGCCACCGGACCAGAGGCCAGCTGGTCAAGGCCACTTCTTGAATCTCTGCCGAGGAGTGCCCATTCTGAAAAGGCCTGCCTAGCCTTGATATTTATTAAGGAAAAATCTTAAACGTGAAAGGGCAAGACTCTTAACGTGAGCGATGTAAAGAGATAGAATGTGTACGTGTTTGTACATGTGTTTAAAGAGGAAGAGGGTGATGAAGGAGTTCCTTCAAACCCTGAATTCTGTGACTAAGAGACAATTAAGTGTTGGAACCATAGGAATACAGGCCAGTCGAGCAGTGAAAAGCCAATTAACTGAAGACAGTTGAGAACAGGAGTCTTGTCTGCTTTGTTCAGGGTTGTTTTCCAGTTCCTAATTACAGTGCTAGAGGAAGTTCTGTTGGCCTAGTGTGTAAGGAGTTGCTACTCCAAGGGAGAAATGGGCAATCTCCTCCCATTTCATTTAAACTCCCTTGTAGGGTCAGCTATCAATCCACTGAGGGCAATGAGTGAGTGAGAATTGCAGTGTTTGACAGTAATCATTGTATTTGTTGAAGAAAAGCAATGAAAAGAGGATCAGAAAGCAGGAGGAGGAGACTAGAATCTAAGAAGTAGCAAAGCATGATGGATGGTGGGAAGGAGAGAACATCTGTCTAATGAAATGAGCTGTTGGAATTTGAACAATTGTAGCTGACTAGCAGCTGATTGAACAGTGCAGTGGAAAAGACCATTTCTTTTTGGGTGAACTGGAAGATCAAAGTCAAGGACCAACCATCTAAAGCCTTTTGCAGAGATCCATTGACATTGCCTCATGCAAAATCCACATGAGTAGACACTGAGAAGACATTAACAGGGCACACATGGTCCACAGCCTTGTATATAGGAGTTTCTTGCTTTCATAAACTTTTTCCAGAATGTACTGCTTGCTATCCTGGGTATGGTGGAAAAAATTCTTCAGATTAATAAAACTCATCACATTGACACAATCACACTGGAAATATTTTAGAGCTTGGAGGACACTCAAGCATAAGTAAAGAGTCAGTAGCCACAGTAGTAGGAACTGACAGCAGCAGGACAGAGCAGAAGGCAGGACAGGCTAGATTATGGAACACTTTTAACTGTGTAAGTTCCCAGCTGAGCAATTACTTAACCATTCTATGTCTCCATTTGCTCATCTGTGAAGAAAAGAAAGTTTCAAGAATTATGAGGGTTAAGTGACTTATATGTATATATTTGTATACTCATGCTCATATATAACAATGGCAAATAGCTCATTGTCATTGAGACTTAACAGATTCATAGCTGACCCTCCAGCAGGTTTTCAGAGGCTGTAAAGCACATTGAAGCAGACTACCCCCCATCTTTCTCCTGCAGAGCAGCTGGGGGATTTGAGCTGCCTGCCTTTGGGTTGACAGCACAACTCCTTACTCACTAAGCCATTACAACCTATATACAGTAAAACCAGAGAAAGCTAGAACTTGTCTAAGGCAGAAACCTGCCAGAAAAGTTAAGCACAAATACTTCCATTAAATTAAGCTATAGAATAGTAATGGGACTGAACTCTGTCAAAGGCAGAAAACTTACCAGACCTAGAAAAAGAAGTCAGTCTCGTCAAGTTCTGGTATACGTGTGGGAGAAGTGACGATGGTTCAGTGGTAGAATGCTCACTTTTCATGCTGGAGATCTGGGTTTGATTCCTGGTTGATGCATCTCATGCTCTGTCAATATGCATCTGTTAACTGAGCCTTGGCTGTTGCTGTGATGTTCAATGGAGCTTCTAGACTAAAGTGGACAACTCCTTTCTTCCTAAGAAAGATTTGGCTATGACTTCAGAAACTCAACTTTTGGATCACAAAGGTCTGATCTGCAACTATCCGTGGGAATGAGGTAAGAATGGGCAGCATTTTTGTTCTGTTGTGTGTGAGAGCGCTATGAGCTGGGGGCTTACTTGACAGTAGCTAACAACATCCTTGTATAAAGTGCTTGGATCTGAGCCCACGTGTCTGTGGGATGTGTTAGCTGCAATTGTACTGTTCCTCCTGGACAGGCCAAGACCACAGAGACACCATCGTTTAAGGAGTGGGGACTCCTGTCAATTCTGTCCTCCAGACACCTCTCTTACTTCATTCTAATCTGGGCCTTTGGCCCCACTCAAGCCCAGTCATCATGTAATGTTGGGCTTTATAAGGGGGACTCTCAGCCTTCTCATTCCTTCCAGGCCTCCTTGAGGATTCTATGGAGGGACTAAGTCCGTGGGGCTGCCCAGCTCTGTAGTTCTGTACCTAGGAGAGCCGTGTTTTCATACCATGTGTACTCCCACTTGATGTTCTCACAGGGGATCTGCCCTTAGGAAGGATCTCAGGGGCCCTTTAGCAGGTCCTGGAGAGTCCTGGTGGGGAAGGCTATTGATTGGAATCCACCAGTGCTCTCCAGGAGAAAGATGAGGCCGTTTACTCCTGTGAAGATTTACAGCCTTGGAAACCCAATGGTGACTTATAAGTCAGAATTGACTGACTCTGCAGGACCAGCTTTGGTTTTGGTTAGTAGGTGCCACTGAAATGGCTCTCTCCTCTGTTCTGTCCTCCTCTCTTAATATCTGCAGTGCCAGCACCGAAGACTCATGCCGTGGGTTGAGGCTTCCAATCACTCGCCCCTCCACCCCTCCACCCCACAGCCACCTGTAAGTGTGAGCAGTTCTTAGTCCTGGCTAAGAGTGGGGAGACCTGGGAAGGAAGCAGCTGCTTGTGTGTGCTCAGCGTGGGAACAGAGCAGCATTCTCTGAAGGACTGATTATTTCAGCCAGAGACACCATCTCCCGCCTGGCTCAGCCTCACTCCCACCCCCTCCCAGCAGACAGAAGACAGCTCTGCTGCAGAGACCCTGATTGGATTTCCTGCACCCAACTTTGGCTCACACAGACCTGCCTTCAAGACTCAGTGCTGCCACTTACTTAGTAGCCACATGCCTTTGGGAAAGTTCTCTGAGCTTCAGTTTCTTTATATACTCAAGGTGGATAATGGCCTCTGACACATAAACCAACCAGCCAGTCACCACAGA